TGTGTATATATGGAGAAATGTTGCCACGTGGTTTATTTTCCGCTTAGTCTCACCGATACATATGGCTTGATACTCTTTCTATCTACGTCTCTCTCTCTTTCTCTCGGTGATGGTAGTGCTTGAATGACAAGACAGAAAAATGAAGGGGTGGTTAAATGAGAAAATGAAAAGAAGAGTAAAAGTCATTAGTTTTATCTATTCCTTTTCTTTCTCGTTGAGTGGCACACGGTTTGTTTTTCTCTCAGTCTTTTCGATTTGTTTTTGGCTCTCTCTCTCTCTCTCTCTCTCTCTCGGTGATGGTTGAACATATATCTGTGTGTGTATATGGAGAAATGTTGCCATATGGTTTGCTTTTCGCTTAGTCTCACCGATACATATTACTTGATACTCTTTCTATCTACGTCTCTCTCTCTCTCTCCCGGTGATGGTTGAATAGATTTCTGTGTGTACAAAATTAATAATGATGCCACGTGGTTTGTTTTTCGCTTAGTCTCACCGGTACATATGGTTTGGTACTCTTTTTTTTTTTCTCTCTCTCTCTCTCTCTCTCTCTCTCTCGTTTGGTTTTCTCTTGGTCTCTTCGATACACATGGTTTTTTTCTCTCTCTCTCTCTCTCTCTCTCTCTCTCTCTCTCTCTCTCTCTCTCTCTCTCTCTCTCTCTCTGGGTCATGGTTGAACGAAAGTGGAAGTTTTTGAACCAGATGAAATATAGTTGGTAATCCCGCCCTCTCCCTCTCTGGGTGATGGTTCACTAACAAGATAGAAAATGAGAGGGGCGGTTGAATGAGAAAATAAAAAATTGCAAGTCTCTCGTTTCTTTTTTTGTCTCATCGACACATGAACACATACATATCTGACCCAGATTGGTAAGCTAGGGGTAAATGTATACATATATATATATATCGTCAAATAGAACTGCCCGGTAAACCGTAGGCAGAGAGGGAGAAGAGGACAACAAACGAGGGGCTGTGACAAACTGTTTCGTCGGAGTTTATATGTATACATATATATATATGTATACATATATGTATATAAATGTATAAATATATATATATGTATACATATATGTATACATATATGTATATATGTATATTTATATATGGACATATATATATGTATACATATATCTATATGTATACGAATACGTATACAGGGTTTGAATAACATTTGCCTGGATACTACATGCAAATTCTGTACCAAATTTGAATTAAAAATCAAAAACAAAAAATAAACACCATGAAAAAAAAGAAAAAATGCAAAGAGAATTAAAATGTGTTAGTGTGGCAGCACCTTTTCGACATTGTCATCTAATTATTTTTTAGCATTGACAAATTCCCTGAAAATTTACATATATGTAGTTCACATAATTAAGAACTCGTTGAAAAACATTCAAAAAAGGAAAAAAAAAATTAGGGCCCAAAATACCGTGAAAACAAAGTTAAAAGTGAAAAAATTAAAATAGTGAGAGGGTGAGCACGTCTTCACACCCCCATCTTCATCCTGGAGGTGTTCGGCCCGCGAACAGGACCCCGAACAGCCGAACCTTCGAGGGCCAGCCCGGGGGCATATATATATATATATATATATATATATATATAT